CCCCCAGCCTTACCTGAGGCAGACGCCAGCAGCTGGGACGAGGCGGCCAGGCCCAGCACGGCCCGCTTGTGCCCCCGCAGCTCCCACAGGGGGCAGGCCATGGTGCTCGCCAGTGCCCAGCCACGCAGGGTCCCGTCCCTGCTGCCTCCAGCCAGCACAGCATCCCCGAGCCAAGCCAGGCTGGGCACCGCCACACCCCCTACTGGGCAGCGCCACCCGGCCGAGCCTGCGGGGAGAGCGAAGAGTGACGGGGGCCAACCCCACAGGGAACCCAGGAGTCCTGGCTCTCAACCCCCACCCAACCACAGAACCCAAGACTCCTGGCTGCCCAGAATGGAGGAGTCCTGGCTCCCAGCACCGCCCACCCCCACCCATTAGATCTAATTTTCCCCCATAAGCTGGGACAGAACCCAGGTGTCTGGGCGCTTACCCCAGGGGGTGCCATAGACCCAAACATCATCTGAATGGTGCCCCACAGCGAGTAGGGTGCCGGCGGGGCTGGGGGCCATGCAGAGGGCTGGAGAAAGCGGCCCTGAGCCCAGAGCGCCCTGGGCACGGCGCAGGTGCCCTGGCCAGAGCTGGACCTGGGCTACAAATCAGGGGTTAGTGCTGTGCTCCCCCCACCTCCACCAGTGCCCCTCACTCCCGACCCGCAGCCCCTGCTAGCCCAGCCCCCGTCCCCGCCGGTGCCCCTCATTTCCGACCCGCAGCCCCTTCTAGACAAGCCCTGCCCTCCAGACCTGCCAGTGCCCCTCAATCCTGACCCACAGCACCTTTGAGTCCTCGCGCGCCGTGAGGAGGACCTGGTCCCCGGAGAGAAACTTGACTTCGGAGACGAAGCCCTGGTGTGCTGGGAACGTGGCCAGGCTCACGACCTCCCACCAGGACTAAAGATGCACTGTCCCGGACAGGGAGCCGGACGCCAGCATGGTGCCCGCAGGGGAGAAGGACACGGCGCGGACGGAAGTGTCATGGCCTGAGAGAACCTGCAGGGGGAGCCAGAGTCACAGCCCAGCCTGCCCCATCGGTGCCCCTCACTCCCAATCTGCAGCCCCTGCCAGCCCAGCCCTTGGCCCTCAGCCCTGCAAGTGCCCCTCACTCCCGACCCATAGCCCCTCCTAGCACATCCCTGCCCCTCCTGACCCATACCGAGCTCACACTCCGGTTCTGCAGGCCCAGGGTGGTCACAGTGCCGTCCCAGCCCCCGGTGGCCACCAGCTGCCCGTCGGGGTGGAAGGCAGCACAGTTCAAGGGGCAGGAGAGATCCAGCTCCCAGGTCAGGTGCCCCTGGGCAGAATCCCACAGCTGGGAGGGACAGGAACAGCGGGTCAGAACAGGGGCCAGGCGCCCGACACCTGGATTCTCTCCTCGCTGGGGGAGGGGAGTGGGGGCTAGTGATTAAAGCGGGGGGGGGGGAGGGCAGTGACTACAGCCGGTACCTTCAGGTGCCCATCCAGGGAGACGCTGGCCAGCTGTCTGCGATCAGGGCTGACGCAGCAGCCTGTGACCTAGCCCTGGTGAGCATCAGTAGCCAGGAGCCTGGAAGGGAGAGAGATTCATGTGGTGTCCCCACCGTTGCCCCCAAAGCCAGCTCCCCCGCTGCCCCCCGGGCCGGACCACAGCCAGCGCCCCCAGAGGGGCAGCCCCCCTGGCAGTACCTGCTGCCCTCATGCAGGCCCCAGGTCTCCAGTCCCCCAGCGGAGGTGCCCAGGCAGACGGTCCCATCAGCCAGGAAAACGCAGGCCGAGATTCCAGCGCCACCGCTCAGCAGGGTCTTCAGCTCCTGGGGGAAGGGCGGGGGTGAGACTGCAGAGCCCCCTGCCGGTCCACCAGCTTCCCCTGCCCCCCAGCTTGTCCAGCCCCCAGCTTGCCCCCGGCCTGTCCCCAGCTCCCCACCTCCCCATCCTGCCCGCCCGCCTCCCCATCCTGCCCCTGCCCCCAAACCAACCAGCCCCACAGTGTCCTCCCATGGCAAGAGATCCCCTGAATCTGCCGTGCCCTCTCCCCCGGTACCTAGCCATTCTGCATGTTCAGCAGGTGCAGGGTCCCATCGGTGCTGCCCACAGCAATCTGGCGCCTGCAGGGGGAGATGGCCACACAGGTGGGGGACGTGGGCAGAGCCAGGGCGACGCTGGGGGTTGGGGGAGGAGATCAGGGGGGAACGAGGCCCAGGAGCGGACAGGAACCCAGTGCTGCCCACCCCCAGAGCTCGGAGACAGGCAGCACCCCCACCCAGGACACCGTGCCCCCCAGCTGTCTGGCCATCTCCCCTCCCCCAG